ACCTGGCCCGGCGCTGTCTGTGCTTCCCGGGGCCTGAGAGAGCTCAGCTCAGCCGAGCGTGGCCGCTCCGGCTGTGGGAACCTCTGGCTGGGGGTGCCTCGTCCCCCACGCTCCTGGAGCGTCGCAGGCCTGGAGACGCCCTGCTCTCGGCACCCTCCTTCTCCCGGAGGGGGGCACCCCCGTCGAAACTGCTGGGTTCCCGGCTAGGTAAAGGAGGCTCTGAGAGCTGGGCAGGCCGCACCCTCCTGGCTGGAGAGGGATGGGGATCCATCCGCAGAGACCCTTCTGGCGTGGGGGAGCGCGTGCGGCCCGGGAGCCAGGGGACCTGTGTGTGCCGTTTAAGGACCCCACGGAGGGCCAGAAGCGGGCTGAGGAGGAGGTCGGGAGACCGCAGGCCTGCAGCCAGGTGTGGCTGGAGTCCCCAGTGGGATGGAGGCTGCCCTGATGGGGGGCAGCTCCCATGGGAGAGGCCCAGGGCAGACTGGTGCAGGGCTCCAGGTGGGCCTGGGAGGCACCTGGTAAAGGGCCATTGTGTCCCCACCTCCAGCAGCCAGGTCCTTTCCTAGGCGTGGTGCTGACCATCGGGAGCCCACCGGGCCAGCTGGTCCTGCTGCACCCTCTGGGATGCTGGGGCCTTGGCCCAGCCTCCTTGGCCCAGTGTTTTGGGGAGCTTCTGGGCCACTTGGGGGACATGCCTGGGCATTTCCTGCTGGCTGCAGAGCTCCGGGACATGGGCAGCACAGCCCATGCCAGGCGGTCTGGTGCCCAGGGGTCTCAGCAGTGATGCTGCCCGAGGCTGCCATGCCCACTTGGTGGCAATTTCATCTCACACTGTATTGTGCTTGTACCTTGGTGTGGTGAGGGGCTGGGCGGTGCACATAGGCACATCCCTTCTCTGCGTGGTGTAGACATGTACATTGTAGGCTGAGAATAAACATTCCACAGCACCCTGTGTCCATGCAGCTGCTTGTGCTTTTCCTCCAGGGCCCATCCCCCTGATGCCCCCCCATCCCCTTCTCAAGCCAACCTCCCTTTCCCTTCCCTCCGCAGACAAGCAGAAATGTGGGGATGTCCCAGACTCTCCCCGGTACCCACTCCCAGCCCTGCCTCTGTCCTTTGCCTTCTGCCACCAGCTTTCTCCTTGCTGGGGAGAAGGACCCCTCTGGGTGCAGGCAGCCAGGCTGGACACCTGTGGGACCCTGTTCCAGTGGCTCGGAACTGCTTCTTGCTGTGCCCTTCCCAGCTGGAGGCTTTGGGCTGTTCCTGCAGGAGGGGTGAGTGCTGAAGGGCTGGAGAGAGGCAGAGGAACTTGCCCCACCTTCCCTCCCTGCCTTGGTCCTGGGGGCTGAGAGTCTGTGGTGGGTTCAAACCCCAGCTCTGTCACCTACAAGCAGGTGACACTGGCAAGTCCCTTGTGCTCTGGGAATACCTTCATCTTCCTCTTGCAAGAAAGGCAGTGGGGCTTGCTGCAGAGTGCTGTCTCAGAATGATCCAGTGGGAGGGTCGGTAGGGAAGAGGCCATCTGTGTAAGGCAAACTGCAAAGCCAAGGCCCCAGGAGGACAAGCAGCCCCTACTCAGCAGACCCTAGACTCAACTTACCAGTACCACAGCCTGCTGCACTCCCAGCCTCCCTGTCTCTCCAGACAAAGACACTGTAGGTGCCGTGTCCGTTCTTTTTGGTCACGAGACCCTGGCCAGGGTCCACTCAGCTTCCCACCGACTTGTTTCCATGGGGGTGTGATTGGGACTGCAGCCACAGCATCTTATGCTCTGCTTCCTCTGCCCCTCTGAGTGGTGCCAGGACTCTGAGCCCCCTCTGGCCATGCCACCGGGGGAGCAGCCAAGAGGCCCTGCATGAGTGACCTATCTCCCAGGCTGTGCTGTGGGCGCTCCTCAGGGCCAGGCAAGCCGGGAGGAAGGGTCCTAGTGCCCGGT